ACACATGCATGCACACACACACATACATACACACATGCATGCACACATGTACATACACATGCATGCACGCATGCACACACACAAACACACACAAGCATGTACACACACAAATACACACAAACGCATCCACTCACACATGAAAATAAAGACAGAGATGAAAACATGGCCATCCTACCCTTCAGGAAATACGTTCTCAACTGTTCTGAGGAGCACCCCAGAGTCCGACCTTTGACCGAGAGTTCACTGAGGGTTTGTTTGTTTTTAAGAAAAATGAGCCGGGCGGTGGTGGCGCACGCCTTTAATCCCAGCACTTGGGAAGCAGAGGCAGGTGGATTTCTGAGATTGAGGCCAGCCTGGTCTACAGAGTGAGTTCCAGGACAGCCAGGGCTACACAGAGAAACCCTGTCTTGAAAAACCAAAAAAAAAAAAAAAATAAAAAAAAGAAAGAAAAAGAAAAATGAATAAACTGGTTCTATCAAAACCAAAGCTTTAACAGATAGATGAGTTGTGTGGTACTGAAGTAACTTTGCAGGGTAAGACTTCCAGCTGTCTTGCTTCGTACTTCTGGAAGGGTGACATTGCCAGCTATGTAGGCTCCTTGGAGTCAAGTTCTAATCTGTGCCATGAGGGGCTACAAGTCTGCAGTTAGAATTGGTGGGAGTGGTATGTCTCCCACTCAGAGTGCCCAGCACAGGGTCTTGCTATAGAGAGAGGCAGACAACCACTGCCTTAGGCCATGTCACCTAGGATGCACTTTTATGCTTTGAGAGTGGTGTGTACCGTGCCTCTGCTGTCTGAGTTTGGGAGCCTAGTTTTGTACTGTCTGTGTGCAGACGTGTCTGTCCACATTTCAGCAAGAGCAAGCAGGTACACGAGGCCTGTGTCCTTGTATTCCTTGTGGTTCAGGGATTTGTGTGTGCATGCACAGTGTGAATGCACCTCTCTATAGAATTATGGGTGTGGAACTGCACAGGAAGGGAAGCCCACCCAAGCCAGCATAGCAAATCAGAGTCCAGGGGTGAATGCCCTGGCCTGTCTCCCAGCTCTGTCCAAATCCCCAGAGATTTGTAAAATTGCTCCAGAGAATCCTACCCAATCCTGAACCTGTCTGGAGCTGAGCTAAGACTCTGAGCAACAGACTTCACTTTGATTCTTTCTTCCCAGATGCTGGCACAAAGACACACACAACTCTCCTGGAGGTCCCCTTCACAGGGTGCGGTCCAGGGAACCCAGGCACACAGGTACTGCACCCCCTCAACCTTCCCAGATGCCTCTACACCTCATGCCCATGGGAGGACCCCAGGCTCCAACATGTACGTGTTCAACTTGCCAAACCCCGGTGTCTAAAATAGCAAAGGAACCCAAGACTTGGTGAGCAATTCCCTGGAACCCACTCTCCTTCCCCCAGGGTCCGCCCTTTCCCAGCACTGTGCTGTGCTGGGTGGGGGACTTTGACTCCTGTCTCATTCCAGACCCCCTACAGGACACAGCACTGTCAATCAGCACAAAGTTTAAAGTGCTAAAAACACCCCAAGTTTTCTGCATGGCTCAAGTTCCAGAACTCCAGTTCAGATTTGCATACTGGTTTGGAGCGAGATGAAAGCGTGCATCTCTGCAGAGAGGCCCAGGCAGGACGTGCGGCCCAGGGGTGGATCTGAGCCCCACTCTTGCCCTAATCCTGCGGGAGCTGCGCAGTTAAGCCGACCCAGAACAGGAACCGAGGGTCTCCAGGTACACACACACACACACACACACACACACACACACACACGGGGTGGGGGCTGTGCCGGACAAAAGCCAGCAGAGTGAGGTGGTCCATGCCCAGGAGGGCGTTACCATGGTGATGCTCCTCTGGTCCCGTTGGCAGTCTCTGTCCCGGGAAGCTTTGACTCGCCTAGCTCTGGAGAAAGTGAGAAGGGCGAGCAGGGAACTCCCAACCCGGCTTCATCCCGAGGGGCAGCCAGACCCGGACAGCGAAGAGGGAGAGGGGACCCAGACTGAGGAGGCGAAAGGGAGGGGGGAGAAGAGGCGGGCCACCCCATGGGGGGCGGGGCGGCGGCGGGACAGCGGTCCTTTGTGCGATGCCTTGCCCTGCTCCCGCCCTGCAGCCGCCGCCGCTGCGGGTGACAGTATCCCACCCCGCACCCCCTGCCGAGGCCACCGGAACCGTCTAGGGGTGTCTGGCACTGCCTAGCGCTCCCTCCAGCGTCCCCACCCTGGACTGCTGGCTTCTTGTCCCAATCTGCAAGTCATTTTGTCTCCTAAGCCTCAGTTTTCTCACCTGTAAAATGGGGAGGTGGTGGAGGTGATGCTGGTGAGAATAGCATCCCTTCCTGGAATTGGGGAGCAGGGATCAGCATTGGTCCTGACGGCTTGGGATTTCAGGTTTGGGATGGTGGCTAACAAACACTCAGCCTTCAAGAACTTGAAGCCGACGTGACAGACACCGCATTGCTGTGAGGCAGGGTGCTCCAGACACCCACCATGTCTGTGTCTTGACCTAGGACTCCCTAGCTCTGGAACCAATCATGGAAGGAGAGGTGGGCTGTTTGGAAGCCCCCACCTGAGGTGCTCTGTACTAGGTTTCCCATTGGATGACTCTGGAGTTGAGCCCTTTATTATCAAAAAACTGTGCTGAGCCAGAACAACACAGACTCTCCGTCCTGGGGGCGGTAGGGGGGGTGTCATCTGCCAGGAACTGGGATCAGAACGAGAAGAACAGAAAAAATAACCGTGAGTTAACTGCTGAGAAGGAATGGAGTTGATCAGGAACTCCCGAGAGGGGGCTGGAGAGATCAGGCTACTCTTCTAGAGACAGAAGACCCAGGTTCAATTCCCAGCACCCAGGTGGCCATTCGCGACCTTCTGCTAAGGAAATCTAATGACCTCTTTTGGCCTCAGAGGCCATCAGAAACACACATGGTACACAGACACACATGCAGGAAAAACACTTATTTTTTTTTTTTTTGAGTGGTAAAAACTGAGTGAACAGGGAGAACTGAGTGAACGGGGAGGGGTAGCAGGGACCGGAGTTCTAGGCAATGAGAGCAGGACATGAGGCCTCCAGAGTGGTGGCTTAAAAAGATGGGGACATGTAAGTGGAGACAGATCACCTGTCGTGGTGGTAAAGGCTTCTCTTCCAAATCTTATCCACAGCCATGTCCTACTCTGCCCTCCACTTACACACACACACACACACACACAGACACACACAGACACACACACACACACACACACACACACACACACACACACACACACACGCTATCTAGTCTCTTCACAAGAACCTGAGTTAGGAGCCAGCCCAAACCCTCTCCTGTTCCTTGGCCTCTGTTTATTGCTGTTGGACTAGTAATCCAACAGTAGTCTCACTATGCTGTCGGGCTTCAATAGACCCTTGGGGATGTTACTTAAACATCATATAACTCCCTCCTAAGAGGCAGAGAGGGCAGAGGGGCCTTTGTTGTTGTTGTTTTGTTTTCTTTTGTTTTGTTTTGTTTTGTTTGAGACAGGGTCTTATGTGTCCCAGTCTGAGGTAGAATTCCATGTGTAGCTGAGGATGGCCTTGAACTTCTGACCCTTCTGCCTCTCCTTCCCAAGTGCTGACGTCACAGGCATGCACTGCTACTTGTGTTTTATGTGGGTCTGGGCCTTTGTACATGCTAGGCAAACACTCTGCCAACAGCCCCATAGGAATGCATTTGTTTAAGGGAAAACGGCCTTCAGTTTACTGTGCAGAATTCAGTTAGGAGGTGGGGTTGTGATTTCCAGACTGCAACAAGTCAGAAGTAGCACACGGGCCAGTTTTCCAGGATCACAGGAGACAGAAAAGATTCTGAATTAAGTAAGCAGAGAAAATCAAATTAAAAAGGCCTTGGGTGTCAGGGCTACATAGAGAAACCCTGTCTCCAAAAAAGAAAAGAAAAAGGCCTTGGGTGCTTACAGAGTCTGTGAGAAAGCTTGGGTCTCTCCTCTGGGAAGGATGTTCCAGGAGTCTCACTGTCAAGAATAATCTGGAAGCCCCTGAAAACCTGGGGGACTACTTCAAGCCGTGAGCATGCCGAAATGGAACTTTCTGGGCATCAAACACTCTTGCAAGTAAACTATGGGATGGACCCAGCCACTGGCATCACATGAGAGACAAAGAGCCCCAGGCAGAGTCTTCGGGTGTGTGTGTGTGTGTGTGTGTCTGCATTCCTGGACTGAACAAGGCCTCCATTCTAGAAACTACTTCATTAACTACCTTGGTGTGCTGCCTGAATGAATCCCAGACATTCCTCTTGCCTGGGTCACTGTCCATAAGCCTTACAAGGACAATCCAATCAGGCCAAGCTTATGTGTGCTCAGGAGTCCAGTAGAGCTGTCCATATGAGGAAGAGCTGGTCATACAAGAGGAGACTAGAGTTCATAGGAAGGAGGGGAGGACATGAAATGGACTCACAATGACATGTGTCAGTACAGTCCACTGCTGGGTCTCTCAGCAGCCGTCACACCCTACGTCTACGTATGTTCTTCCCAAAATGTTCTGAATGGATGGATATGGCACAACATATCCATCACCAGACATTAACAGACACCAAAGAGTGTGTGTGCTCATGTGTACATGTCTACATGTCCACATAAACACACACACATAGACACAGACACAGGCACACATAGACACATATACATCTACACATTGACACACATAGACACAGACACACACAGAGACATATATCAGACACACAGACACACACAGACACACACACATAGACATATATCAGACACACAGACACACACAGACACACACACAGAGACATATATCAGACACACAGACACACACACATAGACACATATACATCTACACATTGACACAATAGACACAGACACACACAGAGACATATATCAGACACACAGACACACACACAGACACACACACATAGACACAGACACACATACATAGACACAGACACACATACATAGACACACACACACAGACACAGAGACACACACACAGAGACACACACAGATACACAGAAACACACACATAGACACATACACACATACAGACACACCCACATAGACACAGACACACCCACAGACATGTACACAGACCCAGTCACATACAAACATATATATACACACAGACACACACAGAGAGACAGACACACACAGATACACAGACCCAGACCCACACACAGGCACACAGACACACATACACACACATTCCTACACAGATACACAGACAACCAGATATACACATACACACAAAGACAGACACACACACACATACACACATGTAGAGATACACACAGAGACACAAACACACACACACAGAGATATAGACACTCAGATATACACATACACACATAGAGACACACAAATACACAGACACACAGAGACACAGACACACACAGACACATACACAAGATCTGGTCTGAGCCCATAGAAACCCTTCTGAGTCTCAGATTCCTCTTTTGTGTTCAGAATACCACTTCTCACAGGATTGCCTTGAGGCTTCATCAGGCAGGCAAATGTTAAGGGCTCTGGGCTGGACGTGGTCCCTCTGGACTTTCCAGGGGATTCCCAAGGGCTGGTTAAGGATTCACATCCTCTCTCTTCAGCCAGTGAGGAACTGAACCGTATCCAATTGCTAGGCTACATTGGAGAAATCAACCCCACCCCCACTCCTGACATCTGCTGGTGGGAGGATGGGAGACGACATGAGAAGAGTTTCTGCTGGTGAGTCCTTGGGTGGTCCTGAGAAGATCACATCCCTCTCAGAGCCAGAGTTTCCTCAGCAGGCAACAGAGGTTCCAGATGCTCCTGGAGGAGGACTCCATTGGAAAGGTGCAAACCAAGCCTGGGTTATGACAGGTCTTAAGCAATGACAGCTCTGCCTGTGACCATGAGACTTGAGAGCCAGGTGCTAGGACACCTCACCAAGGGGACAGGCACATCTTGGGAAAGGGGGGGGGTCCCAAATTTAGGGAGAACGTCATGGGACTTGGAGTTCATTAACTCCTTTGCTAACTATGTGTACCGATTGTAAGGATGTCAGACACTTGGCAGCCATGTCTACCCTTACCCTTCTATGTCCATGACAGATATAAACAATCAATTACAGAACTTCCAGTGAAACCTAGAGGCAGCCTCAGAATCCTCTTCAATGTACACAGTACAGGCAGATGCCACCAGTCAGCACAAGTGATCATGGACCTGACATTCATTTGTCATCTGTGGTCTGAAATGTTAGTGTGGGCTAGCATGGAAGAAGACACAGATTCCCAAGGCTGAGGATTCGTCTCTGAGTCTTGTCTTAAAACCCCTGGTCGGGTGGGAGGATGACTCAGCACCTGTTTGGCATGTATGAGGAAGGCCTGTGGTCCATCCACTGCATGGCAAAAGCAGACACAAGCCACACCCCTAAGGCCCTTGAGAATGAGTAGATACTGAATGAGTGGCTAATACAATCCATGGAAATCCCCTCAAGTCAAAGCCAGAGTCACGGGAACCTTCAAGACCAGTCTCGCAGGCAGTACCCTGTGAGCAGGAGCCCTGGTATTTTTTTTTTAAATGGCTGTAACACCATACCCTGAGGCAGAACAATTTATGAAGAAAAGAGGTTTATTCAGCTCCTCAAGGGCTGGAATTGAAATTTCAAGATAATGGAAGTGTTGACTAGTGACAGCCGACAGAGAAAAGTACGACAGGCGAGTGGACCAGCGTGGGCCAAGAGACAGGGGATGTGGGTTTTTCCTGAAAGACATGAAATGTCACGAGGGAACTAAAGGGGGAGCTCCCCTGAGATCCCCCTAACTGCTGAGTGGAGGCAGTGTTAGAGGACAGTGGGACCAGAGACTATCAGCCTGGGGTGTGCATCCCACAGGCTCTGGGGTTGCTAAGTCTCCCCTGCACTCCCTCAGGCTCTAGCCTTTGGGCGTTATCCTGCAACTTCTCTTTCCCTTCCACCCGAGCTGTCTTGTAACTGTAGG